ACTGTATAAAATTAGAAAAAAACTGTGATAATATGATGAAAGTTATCTTTCTCTTGGCTTATATAGGTTAGTAATTCCCTTATTGTTTCCTAAACAAGAAAAATAACTGTCATTTTAAAAACAGTCATTCAGAATTTAGAGGAAAATAAATTGGATTTTATTTTAAACATAGATGTGATGAGTTCAAAAGGTCAATTAAACTTTTCTAACTAGAAAAGGTCACTAAAGCATCTTAAGTTATATTTCATTGTCTAGAGAAGATTAATAAAGGTAACTACTAATAAAGGTGAAGACTTAGGAACAACATTGTTCAGTGCCTGCTAGATGAAAAATCAGTGCAGGAAATGATGGCACTGACACATTCCAATGGTAGCTACTGAATAAGAGATTTAGCTGCAAATATGAACACTAAGTTAGTATCTTCTGCAGAATTATACTTTGGCCTAACAGACAAATCTACAGACACAATTGGGTTAGCTGCTTTACTTTAATTTGTCTAGTATTAACCCCAACTAGTCACTTAAGAAATTGTAGAGGGAGTGGCTGGGGTTCTAACCAAAGGCCTCACACACTAGGCAAGTACTTCACCAATGAGCAACAGTCTGGTCCTGAAAAATTATTTTATATGAATTGCTTGGTAAGAAACTCTAGAGGCACTGACACATTCAACACACTAAATAACTTCTCGAGTCTTGGAGTTTATCCTGTAAAAACTGCACTGACACTGAATTGATGGTGTAAAAACAATGGTGGGTAAAACTGTTGTTCCCTTAGCAATAATCATGGTGGGGCACCAAAGTGCACTCAATGTCACTGTATTCTCTACAGCCACATATTCAGTTAAAAAAAAAAAAAGCCATTTCCTTTAAGAATGTCCTTGATGGAGCAGTGAGAATTATTGATTCTCTTCAATCCTGACTTCTGAGCATTCATATATTTAATATTCTGTGTGACAAATCATGAAAAGACACTTTCACTCATACCAACACAGTGATGACCCCAAGGAAAGTATATGACGGTTGGAGTTTCAGGCTGAACTGGACACTTTTTTTTTTTTGGTACCGGGCATTGAACTTGGTTCCTTGGGCTTGCAAGACAGGCCACTAAACCACTGAGCTAAATCCTTGGCCCCTCAACTGGACACTTTTGACGAAACACCATTTTTACTGTAAAGAACAACTGGTAGACATTTGTGATTTTAGAAGATATTTTATTGAAAAAAAGTGAATTTATCAATTCTGAAACTAGTACTGAAACTAGTAATATATGTACTGTCAAGGTCAAAATTTGAGCTTAAAAAAAAGTGACAATTATATTTCTAAAAATCTTGTATCCATGATTATGAGCTCTGAAGACTCTTCTAAGAACTTAAGTGGTGATACTAATGAATGCGGTCTTTTGATAATAACAAATGTGTTCACAGATGAAAGATCTGCATAATTCAGTAAACCATCATTTTCTAAATGAACAGGGCCTGATGTCATACAACAGCAAAACATCCATTCTAAATGTAATACAGACCAAAAGAGTTTAATGTCAGAGTCTGAAAAGGTCACTGATATGATTTCAGAGTCTACGCTGAAAAATAAACAGTAAGAAAACTAATGCATGTCAACTTTGGGTGTAGCATAAGGAATACACACAATTATCTGAAAAGGTTACCGTTTAACATTTCTTTCTTTTCCAACTATCTAACTGTGTAATGCTAGATTTTCTTCACGCTCTCCAAACCAATATATAGGGTATGATCAAAATATATGGTGAATGTTTAAATTAAATTAAAATTTGTGAAAGACAAATAGCTATTAACCCCACTCAAAATACTTCCTTTTGCTTAGAATGCACTTACCCACTGTTCTTGCCACTTTCTGAAGCAGTTTAAAGTTATCTTTCATGAATATTTTTAACAAGATGTGATAAAAAATATGGTGAATGCTGCTGCCAAGTGCCATCCAATAGAGAGGCAGGCTCATAAAAACATTAGTGTGCTCTCATCCACCTTATTCCCTGGATCTGGTACCACAGGACTTCTGGCTTTTCTTCAAAGTCAAAATGATCATGAAAAGTAAACATTTTGAATCAATTCAGGACATCAAGGCTGCTGTTAGCAACACAACTAAAGATACTCATGAAGACTTCCAGAACTGCTTCAGAAAGCGGCAAGAAGGATGAGTACGTTTGATCTGAGTGGAGGTGTTTTGAAGGGAATTAATGGCAATGTGCCTTTTACTGTAATACATTTTTAAAAATGTAAACATCCACCCAAAGTATATGATATTCACAGAGTACACTGAGAGCAGAAATAAGAATCTAGTACCCCCCTATTAAGCCAGATATCCAGCCAAAAGACATTTTAAAATACCATTATTGTCATTAAATTTATTTTTGAGAAGATATTAAAATATTTAGTGGCTTTATTATTGTTTTCAAATGAATTAACAAATATTTAAAGCTTTCTCAGTTTTAATTTCTAATACAGTAATATCAATAGATAGGATAATAGGAGGCCCCACTGACTTTACAAAGTAAGTCCTGAAAAATATGAATAGGACCTGTATTATGTATCACTGTTAATGTCCTGATTTTAAAAACTGTACTGTGGTTATTCAGGAATATGTTCTGTATGACTTACAGTATTTGGAGATGACAGGGCATCAACTCAGCAACTTATTCTCAAAAATGGTCCATAAAAAACAAAATTTTTTATTCTGTACTTGCCAGTTTTCTATAAAACTGAGTGTTTCCAAAAGAACATTTTTAGAGCCTTAAACACATACACACACATGTGCATGCACAAATATATACATATCTATGTTTAACCCTGAGTTAATAAATCAGAATCTCTGGAGAGTCATATGATTTATGTTAAAGTCTTCAAAGCATTTAATATATTTACTTTCCTTACAAAGAAATTCAGTAGCTCTCTCTATTCATAAGAGTAATGTTGAATAAAGCTGACTGTAAGAAATTTATTTCCCACACAAAAAAGGATGCCACCAGTCATTCACTCCCTGCCACTCTGCTAGTCTATTTGATGACTGTAAATGCTCTCTTTCCATCAGTGAAAGTTTTGTCTGTCACCTCAGTGTGTATTTCTGAGTTTTTTGCAAAAGTATTTTTTATTTAGAAGGTACACCTTTTATAAAACCAGGCCTGAAGATGCCTATTCACGTAAAACATGATTTCCACAAGAAATATGTGTGTGCCACATGTAATTAAATGCCATAGAAAGCTCTAGCTCATCTGCTCAATAAATCCACTCTCCTGGTGGGACGTGTGGCATGGCAAGCAAGCAGGTCATATCACATGGTGTTTTGACTCAATTTATGAAGAGTTTTAGAGCCTACATTAAGTTTTGAGATCCTATCTGACTACAAATAAGCTAAGAAACACTAGAGGTATTAAGCAAAAGAAGAAAAACTGCTTCATGAGACTATCAAAATTGGAAGTTCTGTTCATCAAAAGAAAGTGAATTAGGGAAGCCCTAACACATGAAGAAATACTCACAGTAAATATTTGAAAAAGAATTTGTATTCAAATTATATAAATAACTCCTAGAAAGAAAAATACAAAAATAAGCCATTTTAAAAGGGCAAAAGACTCAAACAGATACTTCAAAACAAACATCAAAGACAAGCCTTAAAATCTGTGGCTATTTTGAAATTTTGAGTGCATATATCAAAGAATAAGATAAAGATATGATTTTTTAATATACATGACATCTCATTTTGAAATAAAAATATTTTGTTTTGAATTACATTAAAAATGTATTTTCCTCATGCAATACAGGTTTAAACTGGCTAAAAATAACGTTCAGTACAAACTTAAGACTATCTAAGAAATGTGAACAGTAATTCCAAGTTGTTGGTGATTCAACTCTGAAACCAAAATTTTCTACTTTTCTAAGTTTTCGAAATCTTTAACTGAAGAATATTCTAGTATCACTTATCTGTATGAATCAGAACTTTCTGAAATTCAGGCTGCTAGCCAAAAGGCAGAAAGAAAGTAGGTCTTCAGGAAGATATAAACCTAAAATTCTCCTATTGAAATGATATAGCAATAGATAATTATTTTTAACAACTGAAAATTCAGGTAAATGGTGTTAAAATAACAAATTACATCAAATACAATCTGTATCACGACAATGGCATGTTTTATGGCTTCTATCTAGACGCCCCCTCCCCCAAACCTCATTCAGTCATAGGTGGGGCTTTTTGGAGGTGACTGGATCCAGGGTATGTGATGCTAGGATCAAGGATATGATGCTGCTGGGACTGATTCATGGTGTGATACTAGGATTAAGGGTGCCCCACTCTGGGTATGCGTGCTACCCACCCCTAATGGTAAGCAGCATGCTGCTTGCTACTTTACTGCTTTGCCACCTTGTGCCCACCATGAACTGTTCTTCCTCTGCAATACCCCTTTGCCATGCCATTCTGCCTTGGAGCCAGTCAACTATGAAATGAAACCTCTATAGACTATGAGTTAAATAAACCTTCCTTCTTTAAAAAGAAAAAAAGACTAAAATTATTACTCACAGCCCCCAACTGCCAACTTCTGTGCTCATTAAAACAAGTTCTCTGGTCTTACTGGTCTTGTACTCTAAAGGCTTTTTGGCAAATAAATGTTATCAATGTGAATTTACAAAATCAACCTAATAAGAAAATAAAAACTAAGAAAGTAGCTCAATAGTGGAGCATTTACCTAGCAAACTCAAAGCCCCGGGTTACACACAAACACACACACACACACACACAGAGTAATGAAATAATCTGTTCCTTAAAAATTTTTGAAAAATAATTCTGGGTTTAAGAACTGCTAAGCCTTTTCTTGAGACCAAGAAATACAGAGACCTTGTGACAAGGACATATTCACTATGGTAATGGCCAAGTGCTTAGGAACATTAAGTAAGACATAAATCACTGTGATTATTGTTCACAAACACATATAGTGCTTATCCCCACAGAATTGTGCATGGCATATTTTATTGCAATACTTACTGGTGCTACGATTTTTCCTGTCTGACCAACCTGCATATCATTGGGAACGAAGCCAGCATCAACAGCTGCTCGGGATGCACCAACTAAGGAGGAAAATAACCATTGTTTTTCAGGCTCTATGATTCAGCTGATAAGACATTCATTAATAAGCACAAAGATATGAATATAGTACAGTTTTTATAAAGAACTTTAAAAATTCCTGTCACCGAGAACTCTAAATACTAAGTACCGGTATATTTTTCAAGAAAACACCTTCTATTAATACCCACTAATTTCAGGTTTTAAATTGCGCTGAATCCTTTTTTTTTTTTTTTTTTTAATTAGGGTCTCAGTATGTTGCCCAGGCTGGGCCCAAACTCATAAACTCAAGGTATCTTCCCACCTCACCATTCCCAATTACTGAAACCACAGAGTGTGCCACCATGCCAAATTTGGCTTCTGCCTGCTTTATCAAAGAAGAAACCTGTATTATAATCTATTTAGGCTATCTTCACATGACACTCTCTCCTCAGTAAACCCTGTATCATTTATTTGAAGGCCTAAGAAAAATTATTTTCAAGAAGAAAACTGAAAACCACAGAAAGAAAAAAGTGCACCTTTAAATGACTTATGCATAAATGAAATAATAAAGAAAAAATATTTCCAATGACAAAAGAACATGTCTCCCCTAAGAAAGTATCTTTACCTGCAGCATGTAGTTGATCTGCCAAGTCATACAACAACTTAAAATTCTCTCCACTCTTCAAACCACGACCTTATTTAAAAAAAAAAAAGACGTAAAAAGCAAGCATACATTCCATTCTATAAATATGCTATTGTGTAAATCTGAAGGAAGTTTCATATTATACAACTGCCATGTTAACCATGACTCCTCTATAAAACCTTTTCTGAATTCTACTGATACTCCTACACTTCTCCTATGAAGCATTCAACACTATAGCAATTAACTAGTCAAGCAATAGTGTAATCTTTACTATCAGTTTTTTCCACTAGAATGAAAACTTATTGTAGGATCCATATCTATCTAAAATATTGCTATTATATCTGTAATGTTTAGCAAAACTCTATACATAGCAGATACCAAATAAATATCCTCTGAATGACTGAATGAAGTACTTGAGTAGAAGTCACCCTGATAGACTTTAAACTTAAGATCAAGAACAATCTGCCTTTTCATTTTTCTTTCTCCAGGACTTTGCAATAAAATTGTCATGGAACAGATACTCAATGAAAAATAAGTGAATAAACAAGTCAAATACATAGAAGTCTGTTGGAAGATTATTTCTTGATGGTTGATTTGATAATTTAAAATCATGCCAGTGCTTATTTTTCAAAAAGTCAACCATCAGGCTATAAAAAAGCCTTTTCTTAAAAAAAGAAGGAGCATACCACATTAAAAAACAAGTCTTCTATAATACTAACAGCTTTGGTGTCAAATTAGAAGAAATTTTCAGTGTTATACAGATACCTCTACAGTACAACCCTGGAAGTCCTTGAAAGTGGAATGAAATAGGGGATATTATAGAGAAAATGGCCCTGAGGTTCCAGTCAGCTTTCCCTGATTCGGAACCAATCACACTCTTCAGAATAATACAGAAGGCTATTAATAAGAAAAGATACCAAGTGGCAAAATTAAAGACAAGATTTGTACCATACTCCCCCTGGTGCCAATGACTTAGATGTACAACAGAAAGCCCAACTGGGTACTAATTGTTTTTAATTTCCTTTTCCTAATTAGTTGAAATGGGAATAACATTTGCAACTTACCAACTTTTTACATTTGAAAAGAAGTCCATGTGCCTTTAAAATACCCAAACAAACAAACAAAAAAATCACAGTACTGTAAAATTTATGTCATTTTTTAAAAAATTAACATTTGACTTACCACCAGATACGACCACTTTGGCACCAGTCAGCTCTGGCCGATCACTTTTCGTTAACTTCTGGTCAAGCCACTCTGATATTCCCACTGGTGAAGAACTTGGTGCTGCATATGTGACACACAGAATAAAACAATGACTATGATATCAAGTTCTAATATGACAGTTACTTTATGAGAAACACAAAGTCTAATGCCATGAAATTCAAGTTATTAATTAATATGAATTTTCTGTGCTTCTAATTTCATTTTTTATTATGGCAGACTTCAGTGGGCAAGATTTCAGCCTTTGCCTCATTAGTCATTTAACTTTTAAGAAGCCATTTAATGCTCTGAGTTAATCTGTAAAAACCAGAAAAATCTGGGCTGGGATTTAACTTAGTGGTGTCACCACCTGCCTCGCAAATGCAAGGTCCTGAGTTCAATTCCTGGTACCAAAAAAAAAAACCAGAAAAATCTTATTTCTACAAAGTTCAAATAAGCTGTTATATGTGTTAAAATGCAATTCCTTCTATATACTTATTATTATTATGTTCTTCTATTGAGTCACTCAAGTATTACAATAGAAAATACTGATAAGAGTACCAAGTCTTAGCATCACTAAGACAGATGAATCTTAATGGATCCTTTCTCTATCTTTCTAAATGACCAGAGCAACTATCCCAGTCTCAAAGATACTAATTTGAACCATCAGGAAAATGCAAATCAAAATCACAAGGACACATCACCTCACTCCTATTAAAATAGCCATTATCTAAAAGAAAAAGATAACAATTGTTGGTGAGGATGTGAAGAAACATGAACCTTTACACACTGCTGACAGAAATGTAAATTAGTATAGCATTATGGTGCAGTATAATAGTTCCTAAAAAAAACAAAACCAAAAACAAAACTACCATATGATCCCACAATCCTATCAATAGGTGTATATCCAAAGGAAATTAAATCAGCATGTTGAAGAGATATACCTGCATTCTCACTTTCACTATAGCACTATTTATAATAATGAAGATACAGAATCAACCAAGATGATCATTATGAATGAATGGCTAAAGGAAATATGGCACAGATAACTGAATACTGTCCAACCACTTAAAGGACAAATTCTGTAATTGTGACAATCTTGATAATCCTATAATATGATCTCAGTTCTATATGGAATCTAAAACAGTTGCTATCACAGAAGCAGAAAGTAAAATGGTGGTTATCAGAAGCTAAGGTGGTTAGAGGGGAGAGAAAGACACTAGCAGGATATATGACTGTAGTTAAAAAGGAGAGGTATTCCTTAATGTCCAGAATAGGCAGACATATAGGGACAGAATGTAGCTAAGTTAATCACCAGTGGCTGAGGGAGGGACAACTGATGACAGAAAGATGGAGAGATGGTAAATGACTACTAATGGTTACAGTTTCTGTTTGGGGTGATGAAAATGTTCTAAAATAAATTTTAGTGATGGTTACACAGTGCTGTGAGCATTCTAAGAACCACTGGATTGGATACTTTAAATTGGTGAATGGTAGGATATGTGAATTTTATCTCAAGCTATTTTTCTTAAAAGATATTGTGAAGACATAAATTATAATTATTATTTATTTTTGCATAACCTTGGGAATAACTTGGTAACTTTAATAACCTTGGGAACATCATTTTTATTGTATTTCTAATACTCTACATTAGAAATTTAACCTTAGGCTATCTCCTATTCTAATAAAATCTGTGAACTTAAAAAAATAAGAAAGAAAACCAAGCAATCAAAATGGAGCCAGGGATTTAGTTCAGCAGTGCTACCACCTGCCTCGAAAGTGCAAGGTCCTGAGTTCGAGCCCCAGTACCAGAAAAACAAACAAACAAAGCTCCAATGAACACTCACCATTTTCTGAACTGGCACTACCTCCACTTGTTGCTGCAGCTTCAAAAGATGTTCCTCGGACAGAAAACACCTTTACTTTCTCATCACACTTCACTGTACACAAAGCATTTCCTGAAATACACAATTTGTCTTTTAGAAAGCAATTGCGAAAGGCAACAACACACATATTCCTTTCAGGCTCAGAATTTACTTCACAAAGACAAGAAACAACTATGGATCAGTTGTTTTCTACCCTATTGCACAGAAAGAAAAGAAGACCCTGACAGTAAAGAAATATGTTCATGGGCATTAGTACAACTCTAGATGGCTTATAAACAGGACACGTCTGACACACCTGGAAGTAAGAAACAGGAACAGACAGCCAAACTAAGCACACCCTTCCCACAAATCTCGCTCCTCTAAAACACAATACAATCAGTAATCTAAGACTGAGAGTTGTGATGACCTAATGAGGATGGAGCTACCATATACACTGAAGGAGGATATCCGGGAAAACCTGGAAAGGCATAAAGAGCAAATTTAGATGTGCCAAGATTGTAAAAGGATGTGACATATTTCTTAGAAATTAGCAATCCCATTAAAAGTGACCTAAACTATGACCAAGTATCTCTCCTCTGAATCACGTAACTTTAATAAGAAAGAACAGAATTCAATGATTTCTCCAACCCCACTGGACCAGTGTGTTCAACAAAAGATCAATCCACCAAAGAGACACAGAAATGAGTTTCTTAATGACACAGCAAGGGAAAAGGAGATGCAAAGATGGAAAACACTATTTAAAAAGGAAAAAAAAATGCTTATTGACTACTCAAAAACTCTCCACAAACTTAAGTGACAGACAGGAAGGAAAATGCTGTGCTGAGTGACATAACATGGTACAGTGGCGGTTCTAGAGTAAGATTTTTCTCAGAAACCTTAAGATGGTCCATTTAAAGCAACTGTATGGCTGCTTAAAATCCTAACTCCAAGATTTATTTATACTTTTTACTAAAATTTAATACTGATTAATAATTTTCCTTGGGAACTCACCTGCATAAATAGTTCTCACAAATGTGTCAGGTGACTTGATCTCAATGATGTCGGAAATCGGGGAAACATCAAGTTTGGCTGCTATTCTGGGCATAAGGTTCTAAAGGCACAATAAGCAGTGAGTTACATGTATATATCCTATTGGATGACTATAAACTATGAACAATGACATCTTCTAAAGGCAGTCTATGGAAACTTTAATTCAAATTATTTATCCCATCTTTATACAACTTCAAGCCCAGATTTGTGGGTACTCTGAAACTAAGTGAATGCCTATCATTTCTCTAACTACATTAAGAGTTTTATAAGGTTTACAACAATAAATTAGTTTAATTCAATACGTTGAATTAGGAGGTAAGACATTTGCTTTAATAAATGTTGATTTTAAAATATGACTCTATGGATCACTGAATTTAGGCAAGATAGAAAAATTCAGAATAGTAAAATTCTCAAATACCGAAAAAGATTACATTATATATACCAATGGATATTAAAGAAAACATTTCACCTTTTGCTGAAACTGGTGTTGCAAAAAAGATCAAAACTAACGTGAGCAGTAGCCAGCATGCTGTGTGTAAAAAGAGCAGCAGAAATAAATGCATGTACTTGTACTCTGTGCGTGTAACATCTCTGGACTCGATACCGGTGCTAACTTCGCTCTCACTTGCTGACATCCTTGGGAAAGTCACAATCTCCCCAGCTCTCAGTTACTCTCTCACACTGAGAGAAGAAAAGCTCTACAATTCTAGTCTGACGTTCTATGACTCTAGGGCTCTAAATCAGAAGAAGATCAGTTAGTGAAGACTAAATACCCATATTTTTTGGAGTTAAGGTTCTTTTAGATAATATAAATATATTTTTTAAAAAGTGAAATGTTGCTTTTCATTACACAGAAAAGCTGAATTCTACACTGATTTCTGAGAAGTGCTTACTCTGTGGAACCTCCTAAACTATGCCCACATTCATATAGCATCATTCAGGTTCCTCTCCCCACTTTGCCCTCAAAATCCCTCTGTTCCCTAAGGATTCCCCTAGAATGATCCTGTAATTACTCCTTCACTCTCCCACATGCATGTATAATTATACTGTACCAACTGGCATTAACATGTATTTGGTATTAAAATAACTTTTAGTATACAAGCTACATTAAGTGGCTCTATATAGATTGATGCTAACAAATGTTGACAACCTGAGTCAATTTCCTTCTTATATATGCTTTTTCTGGGCCTGGTTTGCCACCTGAAAGTCCTAGGAGAGCAGGTGGAACACAGATACATGTATGTTTTTAAAAAGAGATTTTTTTTTTCATAATATAGGTTTAACCACATGGCAGTAAGTTAAAAAAATAAAAAAGATTTTAAAATTCTAACCAGTATTTTAAGGGTGTTATCTTAAAACCATAGGGGGCATTGTGGTTTGGATCTCAAATGTTCCCCAAAAACATGTGGGGAAGGCCTGGTCTTTGCATTATTGGGAGTGGTAGAACCTATAGAGGTGGGTCCTGCGGAAGGTCACTGGAGGTATGCCTTTGAAAGCAAACTGAAAACCCTGAACCTTTCTCTATTTCTTGGCCACCAGAGATGATAGCTTTGCTCCAGCCATGATGTTCTGCCTTACCATAGGCCCAAAGCCATAGGGCCTAACAACTACTCACTGAAACCTCAGACACCATAAGCCAAAATAAACCATTTTTCCTTTTAAGCTGATTTTTTTCAGGTACTTTGTTGCAGTGACAGGAAGCTGACTAACACAGTTGATGAAGGACCAATATAGATCTATTTAGATTCTTCTGATGGAGTTTTTTCATTTCAAACCCATTTACAGAGGGCAGCACCAGCCTCTTTATCATGTGACCCCTATTCTCAAAATTCCTGTCTATCACAACACATCCATCAAGGCCAGAGAACTAAAATCTGGCTAGTAATACACAACAAAAACCCTTTCCTAGTCTCACAATTTTGTAGGTAAACTGTATCACAGAAACTCAAGATTTATAAAGTTGTTGAAATCACCAGGACCTAACCTAAAATTCTGGCACCAGGGACTGGTTTCACGGAAGACACTTTCTAAACACCTGGGGGAAGGGGGAGGGTTCAGATGACTCAAAGAATCGCTCTAATGTGCAGTTTACAGCAAGGTTTGCCCTCCTGTGAGAATCTAACACCACAGCTGATTTCATGGGACAGAGCTCAGGCAGTGATGGAGGTGAAGACCAATGGCTGTAAACATAGAAGAAGCCCTGCTTCCCTGCCTTGCCATTCACCTCCTGTTGTGTGGCCCACTTCCTAATAGGCCATAGACCAGTACTGGTCTGTGGCCCAGGGATCGAGGGCCTCTGATTTAAATCATCCAACAAAGAAATTAAAGTCAGGGGTAGAATGGTCCATAAAGATCTTTTCACCCATTAGATTAATCAGGAAAATGCTAGAGTATATAATAGCTCAAATGTTGGCCATTTAACAATAGAGATCAAAAGTTAAAGTAAAAGGCCTTTAACCTACCTATTTCTCTTCTAGAACTTTATTCTACATAAACATCAGCATATGTATGCATGTATAGGGTTGCTTCCTTGCATCCAAGTCTATAAATGCAAACAACCAGAAACAACCTAACTTGTTCCTGGCTAAATACAGAATGTTATGCAGCCATTAAAAAAGACAGACACATTATGAGCTAATATTTTCAAGACATACTCAAGTAAAAAAGATCAGTCACAAAACAATTTGTGCTATATTATCCCATACTACAAGTAAAAATGTATTTGTACATGTATAATTTTAAAATCCACAGAAAGACCTCGAAAACAATGAATGCACAAGTGCTAAAGTCATCCTCCTGAAGAGGAAACAAGAGCTGGGCATAATGTAGGGCCTGCACATGTTGCTCTTCGTACTGCTTTTTTACCTGAATCCTTTCTACTAAAAATGAATTTGTATACAACTTTTTAAAGTAAAATGAAAACTAAAAACTACCCCTTATTAAGAATTTTTAAAAAGGAGGTAAAATATATATGATCACTGACAGACAATTAATATCCAATACCAAATTCCTTCTCTTGGGCTCCCTCTACTTTTTTAAAGTGTCAGTTCATCATGCATGCTGGACAACACCCTCACATGAGCTACATCCCCAACACCCTCACCCTCACATTTTGCTAACTTTCTGGAGATTACTATCCATCTGAGGCACATTCTTTCTGCAGACATATTAAAATGCACATGACTAGATTACCACTTTTCCTTATCCTAAGGGTATCTTCAACCGCCACAGAGCTCCTCCCACATCCCCCAAATAGAAAGGCCAATTCTAAATACTCATCAACTGTTCAAATAAAAAAACTCTTAAGATTGGTTACTAATGCAAACAATATTCACAAAAACCCCCAGAATCTAACAGCTTTTAAACAAGATAATTTAACAATAATAGCCTAAAGGTTTTCTCTAAGGCAAAATTTGAAAACCTGTAAGAGGCATTTTAATAAATTATGACATGTTCAAAGAACGAAGTTATCTCTGTGACAAAACTTGAAATTCTAGAAATGGCATTTTAACAGAAATTTGACAAAATTAAGAAAACAAATTCTACCGAGTTCAATCCCTGGTACCCAAAGGAAAAAAAAAAAAAGAAAACAAATTCTAGTGCAAGTACTCTGCTGATGTGGACAAGCCAGGAGTGGCCATTTACTCAAAGTCTGCTGCAGTTTCCGGCACACAGAAACCTCAGCATCTGTGTGGGGGCATCAGAACTCATGTTATCACACATTCTCAGGTTCTCACCTTTCCAAAGGCAGAGGCTCCAGCACAGATGTGTGTGTAACTGAACTGCTTCTGCGTGGCCAGAATCAATGGCGTCAGCTCCTCTGAATGGGAAACACATGGATAAAATGCATTGTGTGATATTTCCTAATACTACATTTTCCCACCAAAAATCCTTACCTGGAAGCAGGCCTTTGTAGGCATCATGCTGAGCCACCAGAACTTTCGCTACCCCTGCTACCTTACAGAGATCTTGCACCATCTGTAATTAGAAGAGGAGTTACTAAGTAGCCTCTAAAAGAAATACTCAAATACAGCTGAGCTGACACTAAATATCCACAGAACATTAAATCTGAAAAGTAAAAACAAAAATTATTCCTAGTAGCATAAGGGATATGTAGAAATTTTTTTTAAATTTTAAAAAATTCTTTAATGAAGAAAATCTTCTGCCTAAGTGAAATAAATAAGTCATACATGTATAAATACCTAATAGTTTCTCTGGTGTGAAAAACTATAATGGTACATAAGATCCTAATGGTATAACTGACAATGTGAAATAGGAAGAAAGGGGCAAAGGTGTAGGGGAAGTGGGAAGGGTAGGGGAAAGGAAATAAGGGAAAAGAAAACAAACAAGAAAATGAAAAAATGGAAATAAAGTATTTGTAAATAAGGAAGGGAAGAGGGGGTGAAGGGAGGGCAGGGGTAAGGGGAAAAAATGTTACGTAAAGGTACCAAGATCCCAATGATGAATGTAACTGTACTGTATACCTAAAATGTACCAATAAACTCAATGAGAAAAGAAAAAAAGAAAGAAAATCTTCTGCCAAGTGATCTATGGATTGACCTTACATAGTCCTAATACAAAAGTTTTCTACAAAAATATTGACAAAAAAAGTTGACCTGTTAGTTAATCCAAGTGTAAATTCATCATTTTTTAATTGAATTTATTGGTACATTCTAGGTAGGCTAAATTCATCATTTTATAAATGGTAAAACTGAGATATTCTCATTCTCTCTTTCTCTAACACAGCCAGAACATTTTAAACTTCGGGTTTCCTAGGCATAAACATCTTACTCTGGCTTCCTGTACTTTATTTGGCAATCATTTCTGTTGATATTAAAATTAATAACCCTACTCAACAAAGAAAATCTTATATTGCAACCCAATGCCCACTGCTGAGTTCAAGAAAGCTTTTGATACTTCAGATTTTCCATATACAGAAGGCAACAAGAACTCTCCCTTCCTGAGTATCGTGCATACATCATGACTGGTTTCTGCTCCTCAGAGCCATGCTGGTGTCTCTGTCTGCTTTTTTTTTGCGAACTCAGGACCTAACGTTTGTGAGGCAGGTACCCTGGCACCACTGAGCTTAATCCCTGGCCCTCCTATCTGCTTTTCACCTCCAGGCTGCTTCACTGATCATTGATGAGTGGATACCAAAGGCTGTTCCTCCTGACCCTCCACGGACTATAAGATTCAATAACATTCACTGGAAAAAAGACGCAATGCCACACACCAATGATGGGCCAACTGTCCTCCAGCACACTGCGCTATACCACAGGGCCCCACTGGATGGCTTCAACTGTATTCAACTTCTCTAACTTTAAGAGAATTTCCAATTTTAAAACTCATTTAATTCTAAAGTAATGATACAGTAGCCTAAGAGATAAAGTAGGATAGAATTTTCCCATCAAAACTATTATTTACTGCCAAAAGCTACTGGCACTACAAGAAGAATCACTCTCTTTATGATAAATAGCCAGGGAAATAGTATAAAACTGAAATCTGCCTGGACTATTAACAGGTATTTGTTGTTTTTCTTTAAGATTAACTGAGTCAGCCATGGTGGCATACACCTATAACCTCAGCACTCAAGACGCTAAGGCAGGAAAACTGCATAAGTTCAAGGCCAGCCTAGGCTATATATAGTGAGTTTAAGACCAGCCTGAACTCTGAACTACATAGTAAGACCCTGTATCAAAAAGGGGGGAAAAAAGATTGTAACTGAGTAGATATCATTTCGAGTATTTTAAAAATAGTATGGGCCAGGGATTTAGCTCAGTGGTGCTGCTGCCTGCCTTGTAAGCGTCAGGTCCTGAGTTCAATCCCCAGTACCAAAAACAAAACAAAACAATAAAAGTAGTATCAAAATAATTACTTAAAATCACAGCAAAAGAAATCTAAAATCTAAACATATCTAAAACATACAGATATATAGAGATATATATTTCTGTAGTATATATCAGGAAAATGAGCAACCAAAAAGATAGTTTAACCATATCATCAGACATAGTGAGTAAAATCAACTGTATATAGTTAAATAGTTGGATAGAAATTAGATAAAATTAAATACATATAACTGATTAAACCTGCTGGAAATATTTTAAAATATCAATTTCATGTAAAGAACTAGAAATCATAGCTTTCTGAACACTATTATGCTCGGCATTGATAACTTAGTAAGAAATAACATCTAAAAGAAACACATGCTCTCCAGATTCGTTCATCTCTGAGGTTCAAGCTCCCACCTGCACACCTAGCAACTCTGTATAGGGTGGGAGGAACAGGTGGCTCCAACGGTGTAAGCGTTAACTAAAATAACATCTACAAGGCCACCTCACGGCACAGACCCCACAGACCATTCAACAGCACTTCCCCAGGGTTTGGTTTCCAAAGCTGCAACTCTTATTTAACAACAAAAACAGGCTTATCTTTTAGTACTAGCCATAATGTGAAAAGAATAGTACTCTCATTTGAATTCTTTTACCAATTAAAAATTAACACCCATGATATTTTGACCAGATTTACCACTTTCAGGAATTAGAAGCAATTAGCAAGTATATTCATCAATACAAAAAGGAATTGGCTATTAACCTTTGCGGGGAATCAAACATTATCATTCTCCTTGGTACCTGATGGCACACGATGGTGCCAGGGGAACTAAATCAAGTATTCTACCTCATTTCGGAAGACAAAATGCTTAGTGAGCAAGCTTTTTAGTTCCTTCTTCATGCACAGTAATGGTTGTGACGCTGGCCATTTAATGAGGATTAGAGCCCAGTTTGGGTTATAGTCCTCAGCATAATTCTCTGCTGCTATCTTTCCCTGTCTCTTGATGAAGATTATATTTGCTATGGTTGACCTTAAAAATTTCTCACCTTGTCACACTTGGTTCCAGCTACTAAGCAGGACACCTCCCCTCCCAGGCGTCTTGCTGCAGTGATAGTGTTCAAAGTGACAGGTGCCAGGGAGCCATTCACATGCTCTGCTATGACAAGGGTACTCTGAAATCGGAGCAATGAGACCTAAAAAAGGGAAAAGAGAAAGAGAATTTTATCATAGGGTTTTTTTTTAACTATAATTATTAAGCGTATATTCTTTAAAGAAAACCATTCTATTATACATAGTTCTAATAATATATTTATAAAATACTTGCTCAGTAGCAAAAATCAGGCTATTTGTAACTATCACTGTAATACTAATAAAAACTAAAATATGGATTAGCTCTCTATGGTTAGGAAAAAAAATGTTTTTAAGCCAGGCATGGTGGCACATGTCTATTAAGACTCTGGGAGGCTGAAGTAGGAAGATGGCAAGTTTGACTGGGGAACTCAGCACTTAGCAAGACCGTGTCTCAAAATAAAAAAATAAAGTAAGAAAAGGCTGAGGATACAGCTTAGTTCAAAGGCCCTGGGTTCATTCTCTGGAAAAAGAAATAATTATTTCAAAACAATTTTCCTACTAAGTTACATCCAATAAGTAACTGCTACATAAATTTTAAATCCTCAGAACATATTAACTATCAAACTAGGAACTGGTCAAATCCTATCAATTACATCGTTACATAATGAACTCCTAGTAAGTACAGTATATCCAGAAATGGGCTCAAAATCAATTATTAAAGCTGATTCCTACTGTATTAGGCAAAAAGTATTTGATACCAAAATAAATGAAAACAGAAATCTGCTTTTAAACCATGACACTAGACGTATTTATTTATTTATTTATTTATTTAGGTACCAGGGATCAAACTCAGGTCCTTGCCCTTGTGAGGCAGGCAGCAGAACCACTGAGCTAAATCCCCAGCTAGATTATAATTTTGATGGGGTTTCTTTCAACTGCTCAAATATGCTTCTGAATAAAAAAAGGAGGAGGAAGAGGAGCAGCAGCAGCAGCTGCTGCTGCTATATACAGTATCTTGGAATCAACTTTATCTAATATGGATTATTAAGAGATTACCAATAGTTCATGGTGATCTGGAATAATTTCAAACACTAGGAACTCAAAATGAACAGGAACAGACCTTGTGCTCAAAAATTTCATAGGCAATAACTTTTTCATATACAAAGCACTAAACAAATGAACAGTTTCTCAAATAATGAACCGAATGAGCCAGATGTTGAAGGCTGCAGATCAAGGATAATCAAGTAGAGTACAGAAAATACATTCAGGCATCCACATCAGGTGAAAGCTGGGGACTGGCACCACAGGTATGAAGAAAGGAAAATTTTCTAACTATCCTTGTGGAAAATGGAAATGACAAAAGAGGCACTGAGGATCAAATGGCAGGGTTATGTGACTTAATTTAGCAAAAAGCTTTGGGTCTAGGGTTAGAGTGAAGAAAGCACAGTGTAAAATTTACCCAGAGCTAAAAACTTTTAAGGAGGGTATAAATGAAGCGAAGCCAAGTACAGGACAGTAATGCTGCTTATATAACTAGTATTCAATTTTTCATCTACTATATTATAAATACTTCTTGCTATACTTTCATATTCTTCACCTTTTTTATTAGTTTAGTGTTATGGTTTGGATCTGAAATGTCCCCCTGAAGCTCCAGTGTTGAAGGCATGGTCCAAAGCTGGCAGACTTATTGGAAGGTGGGGGCAACTCTGAAGACCGGGCCCAGTTGAAGCAGGTCCTTGGGGATACACTGAAGCAATACTTTGTCTTGGGACCCTTGCTTGTCTTGCTCTCTGCCTCCTGACCACCATCAGGTGAGCAACCTCCTCTGCTATGCCCTTCTGCCATGATGTTCTGCCTAAAAACAATGGAGCCAGCCAACCACAAACTGGAATCTCTGAAACCTTGAAACAAGATTTTCTCCTTTAAATTGGTTTTCTCAGACATTTTGTCATAGCAAAAGAAAGCTCACTAACACACATTGTATATGGACCCATCAGTTTAACCAGTCTCTGTGGACATCTGGTTTACTCACAATGTTTATTATTTTAAACAACACAGAGAAAACAATCCTCATAACTAGATCTTGGCACTCAATCTAACAAATGAGACTTACTTTTGTGTAGAATGACCCATTCTTTTGACCAGAACTTAGCCAGGCTTTACTCTGGCTGCTTTGGCTCCCTAAGCTAGATTCTATCCAACTGTCAAAAAGGCAACTATCTTCCCTCTCCTACACTACCTGGCCCTACACCTGGTGCCCACCTTCTCAGCCCTCTAAACTCCCTCCACCTCCTTTGAGCACAGCCCATTGACCTGGGAACGCTCTAGAAACCCTAGGGCTAGCTTTCTAGAGGTAGGAAGGATTCCAGGGACATTCCCCTGAGGTGAGAGAGGAGGACACCACAGCAGGATATACCAGAAGACACAATCAATGCACTGTGATGTCACTGGGTGACATTTCTTGTCTTGTTACTCCCTTTTTCATTTACTCAAAAGGAGCAAGGACACAAGAGGGAACTTAACTTGAGTCTGTCAAATCAACTACTTACTCATATAACATTTCCTTTCATTTACTTTCCAGTAAGAAAGGAGGTAGTTCAAGTTAAAGTAAAATTTTTATGCATATCTTAAGATTCCTTTCCTATGACAAATTCCTAGAAGTGCCAGATGACAAGGCAGGAACAATTTCAGCCCTTTTAATAATGACTGACACAAGTTGTTTATCAAAAAAGTTGTAGTAATTCACCATTCCTGAGCTGGAATGAAAGTTCTTGAAAAGTAAATGTCATACCTGTTCTTTTTCATAGCCTCACAATCTAATATGTTATTTTTGCAATGTATCTCTATAGGGTTAATTATATGGCACTTTGTTCATCAGAAGAGCACAACACTTTGTAAAGGACTCTGTAATTAAGACTCAATGGTATAATTTATGATTTAAGTGATATTTCACACAAATTGCTAGTAACAAACTATTAGCTATACATCAAGCACCATATTTTATTATGCTTCACCCATCATTTACCATAAAAATTACCATATTTCCATCACCATTTGAAGAACAAATCCAAGATTTGGTGGCAGAAAGCCCAAATTTGCTGAAAATTATAGTTCTATCATAAAATAAATTGAGTAGTTTTCCTAAGAAACTGTCAAGCTTTTTAGAATTTTCTGTACGTGATTTTTAAAAGACTGCTCAAAATTACATTTATAACAATAAAAAGTAACAAAAGAATCCACTCAGTTCACCCATCTGATCAGTGTTTACTAAATACTACAAATATCATAAAGGCACGGCATATTGCTTTACTGATTGCTTTATACTTTTAAAAATACTAAACTCCCTTCTACTTTGGTGTTCTACCTTACACTTCTCAGGCTGTACAGAGGAACTGCAACCTCTCACATGGTGATACAGTTTAATTCCACAGTAATAGTTATGTGAGCCTGGTGAGCATTCAGATGCTATTCCTCAAACTAGAGCCCAGTTTCCTTGTGGCACACTATATTGCAAATTAAGGGAGAGGAACTAGACCAGAAGTTTTCAAACTACTACCTTTATGAAAAGGTCCTAGGAAGGCATCCAGGAGCCACCACACAGGACACGGTGAGGACCACGAAAAGAGCACTGCTAGAATGCACCCTTCAGCTTTGCTTTAACCTGATGAATCAATTCACATTTATAAAACACTGTACTAAGCACTCTTATGGATCACGCCTTATTTAAAACTCACAAAAACTTTTACAATGTAGGTACTATTATCCTGACTTTGCAAATAAGGAAACTGGAGCTTAAAGGTAACCTAGCTAGTAGAGCCAGGTTATTCTAAGTCCAGGCAGACTGACTCCAGAGTTGGGGTTCTGAATTACTAACTAACATCAATGTATTATCATCTATTGCTCTTTTAGATATGGGTCAATTCCTTCTTGTACTTGGCAAATACAGTCTTCCGTTAAAAGAAAAAAGAAAAACTATTTCACAGGCCTCTTTTCCAGCTCTAAAGGTTCTATAACTCTAGAATCCTATTTTAAGTAGAAGAGTGGTACAGAATATGACTAACAGTTTAAAAAAAAAAGTACAAGTTCATCACTGAAAAGGCTTTAAAACAAAAAAATTGTTTTATTATCATATGACCTATTGCCTCTCAACACCTCAGGACTCTCTTTAAACAAGAGTGATGGGAGGGAAATGGAGCCAGATTCTTAGACTTTAAAGAAAGTAATTAATGCAGACCAGTGCCACCCATAAATTCTTGGTCAGCAGCCTTACCTGAGCCCTCAAAACTGCCAGCATGATGCTACTAGGACTTCCTCGTTGGCACTCTCACCCGCTCCAGCAACTATTTCAAATATACTTTCCTGATGTTTCTCAAGCTGACAACAGTCCTCCCTCTCTTGCAGGAGAAACTGAAGTCAATGGCAGAAAGCTGCTTCCCCTCTGGACACTCGACAGAAATTCTTGGCCCTTGACTATCACAATGGAAGCTGCCATGGGTCCTTCCTTCCTCTAGGGTCTGATTCCTCCACCTGGCTTCTTGAGTCCATTTTTTCTAGTCTACTCAAGAGACTGCTTTCTGCAAGCCCTAATATCTTCCATTCCCCTGGTTTCTTCCCATCAACATATTGTTTTGGTACTGGGGATTGAACTCTGGATTGTGAGGCAGGCACGATGATGAGCTAAATCCCCCCAGCCTGCCCATCGACATGTAAACACATATGACATCTCCTAATTTTAAAGAACCCCATATTAAAAAGCCACCAGCCCACATTCTACTCCAGGTACCACCTTCTAAAATTCTTTATCTTTCATTCATGCTTCTTTCAACTGGTTTTTGCCCTCACCAAAATTACCAACACTTTTCATGCTTTACCCTACTTATTCTCAGCAATGACTACTCCTTTCTGACTTCCACCTAAGTTATCACTTGTATGGGAAGGACTAGCAAATTGTGTAGTGTGTGTGTGTGTGTGTGTGTGTGTGTATCCAGTTATCTCAATAAGTGCTACACCTATAATTAGTTATATCTGCTTATCTAAGAACTTAACCTTCAAACATTTTCAAGTTCCACAAGTCAAAATCTTCTCTCATTTTCCCCTTGTTACTCCAGCTCCTTCCAAAACT